CTAGTAGGATGCTGTATCCCCATATCTGACCCCTACAGTGAGTTCTGAACCCTTTAGATTCAAGATGGGTGGTAATTAATACCTCCACTGAACTACCAAACTCTTGGGATATATACTAACACCAAATGATTAAAGACTAAATTCAGAAGCCAGAGTCCCATCGACAACACGAACATGACAAGTCAAAACCAAATACTGCCATTGTGACTTGGGGAGAGACATTTCAGGAACTTGGATTTTGAAAATAGGTGTCTCCAGAAGTCAGTGGTTAGTTCATTGCTAACTACCCAGAGCTGACTTCATCCCACGCTGTACTGCTTTCACCAGCAGATGGTGGTCTTGTCATTTTCCTAACTCAGAAACAAGTTAGTCTTCTGTGATTAAGGCTAAAGGTGCTTTGAGATAAAACATAAGCCCCCATCCCCTCACACACTACCCCTACCCACCCCATGTGGATGCAGAGACTCTTGCTATCCAAGATGCAGAAAATAAGTGAGGTCTGTGGTCCCAGCCCTGAAAATGTCAGTTACATCATTCCATCTATGGCTCTAGGAACATTGAGGAAGAGGAGGAAAGGAAATAAGGGGAAGAGGAGGAAGGGCTAAGACATGGCATTCTCTAGACTCCATATAGCTGTTGTAATCAGTAACCAACAGCAACTGTGCTTACTTGTATTGACCTCACACTAGACCACAATCAGTTATCATTTCTCATTAAGGAAACTGCTCTTTGCAAGAGACTACTACAAAACCCCCACAACTAATGAAAATGCAGAGTTGGGGAGGTCAGGCCCAGTGGATACATCTACAGAACATTCCTGCACCTAAGGCACAAGGAACATTTTGAAGAGGAGGTGGAAAGATTGTAAGAACTATAGATTCAGAAGTCTGCTGTGAGATTATGTCTCCTAATAATGCGAAAAGCTACATCCATAGAAATGAAACCTATAGGACTACCCAAATGGAAGCTGAGCAAGGACACAAACAATGGACATACCAAATTGCATGGGCAAAGGCCTACAAGGCCTCAACTCTGCATAGAGAACTACAGGTAACTGAGGAATGCTGGGAGCAGGAGAAATCATTTCCTAAGTGGAGAGCATGCTAATTAGCTCTCCAATTGTCAGCCTTGAAAACATGCATCCAAGTAACATTATATGACTTGGTAGAACACATGTGATATAAAAGAATGCACTTTGGATACTGTATACTAAATGTTTAACTGGGCATGGAACAGGAAAAAAGGAGGAACCAAAAAGAAGGATGAAGCCTTATGAAATTCCACTGTCTTACAAGTTAATAGGAAATTCAATTTTTAAAACTTTGAACAGAGGTACCCTGTGGGGCATTTACCCACCACCCCCACAGTTCCCCAGAGTTTTCTTGAGTGTGAGCAGCAGGAAATATTAGATAGAAGGATTTATTGTGGAGAATATTGCGGAGATAAACAGAAAATAAAGAATAGCCTTGAGAGGGCCTGGAACCTTTTCCAACGGCCCCGACTGTCTCTGCCCCAGGGTTTTTATAGAGACGCCAAGGGGTGGAGCAAAAGACCTCCTCCTCCAGCACAGCCAAGTGCAGACCATCTCAGACACCTGCACTCAGGCCTGTGGTCCTAATCATCCTCTCTGCGGACCTGCTGGGTAAAGCCATGAGGAACCCAAAAATGGGCTCCCACAGTACCCTACACAGGTAAATAATGCTGCTCCCAGAAACCAGGGCTATTAAATGTAACTCTCTGTATCAATTACTGGCTATCTGCCCAGAGGTGCCTCAAACAAAGCATGTCATTGCCAGTGCTCTTCCTTGACCATTTTGTTGCTGAAGACACCAAACAATTTAGTTGCATGATAGATAGCAATCTTAAATTTATTAGGGAACTCTCCCTGCTGGCAAGCTTTTGTAACACTGCAAGGTCCTGTGAGGGCTGCTGGCAGAGAAAAGCTGTCAATGGTCTAACCTCTCTGGACCCTGCATCTGACAATACCAACCTTCAAGCAGGATGTGTGCACTGGTGCAATACTGGCACTACTGCTTATGGGCATAACCAACCAATTCCTTGATTGAATTTGAGGCTTGCTCTGTAGAAGGGAGCTCATCAAGACCATGATGGGGAAACTTACAGATACAACTGAACCAAGCTAGTGGGAATGCATGAACTTTAGACCAACAACTGTGGAGCCTCCATGGAACTGGAACTAGACCCTCAGTAGAAGTGAGACAGTTGTATAGCTTGGTCTATTTAAGGGGCCCCTGGAAGTGGGAATAGGATCTATCCCTGGTGAATGGACTGTCTTTTTGGAGCCCATTACCTATGGTGGGGCCCCTTGCACAGCCTTGATGCAGAGGGAGGGGCTTGGACCTGTCTCAACTGAATGTACCAGGCTTTGTTCACTCCTCATGGAAGGCCATATGTTTTCAGAGAAGAGGATGGGGGGTGGGCTGGGGGGAGTGGGAGGAGTGATGAGAATAGGATCTGTAGTTGGTATGTACAATGAATAAAAAATTTCTTAATGAGTAAATACAAAAAGAAGAAAAAACATGGCTTGGAGAGTATATTGATGTTTTGTTAATGATCATATTGTTAATCTACCAATTAAATATTCATCTATAATTATCAATTTGCACTACTCTTAACCTTAGTGAAAGAAGCCTCCTTTGCAGTAGGTAGTGGGTAATGCAGAGACTCAAAACTGTTCAAAAAGTACCAAGAGCAGGCAACTGTGTAAGACTGTGACAATTACTGTATCATCATGGCTGAGGTGGGGGGTGGTCCCATGAGTTTCCTTTCACTCCAATAGGGTCCAATAGCTATAAAAGGCAGCTATTTTGTTTCAGAGTAGAGTGAATATTTCCCCATTTTTCTTTAGCCCTTCAATTTCTGTATGTCCTTGTGGATTTCTTTGTTGTTGTTTATTGAGATGGGGTTTCTCTACATAGACCAGGCTGGCCTCAAATTCAGAGTTCAGTCTACCTTTGCCTCCAGAGTTCTGGGATTAGTGACATGCACCACAACTTTAGCCTTTGGGATTTTGTGAGCTGTATATAAGAATGCCCATGTTATCACATTCACAGCCTATCTCTTTACAGTTTCTCACCTTCTTGCTATTAGTACCAGCACCCTGTACTTAGTAGGCCCCCAGACCTTAACACAACTGACTCCATGGTGGAAGAGCCTTTCAGGTTGTAAAACTCAGCACATAGATACCACCACCTGCCAGAAACTAAAACAAAGACCCAATCCATTAAAGTCCTTATAGTTCTTCAAAAGTCTCAAAATTATACCAACCTTGCCTTTTAGCTTCTGTAGTTCTGCTTCTGGCTAACTGTTCTTGTTAAATGAAGTATGTCAATCAAGAACAGTTTTTGTGCTTAAAAGTTCACCCTGAGAAAAGCTAGGTGCTACACTAGGATGTCAAATGCCCAGTGTAGTCATTGGCCGCTAATAAAGACTTCCTATTGGTTTAAACCAATGTTCCAGCAGCCTTCTCTGGAAAATATTCCACAACAGTAAGGTTTGACTCTAGTAGGAAGTTTCTGAAGGTCAACAAAAGATGAGATTTTATGAGAGCATTTTCTTTCATGGTAAATTTCTTTTTATGTGGGCAATTTCAGCACTGGGGAAAGGATTTATCAACTTGACTGCATTTCAGGGATGGAATTTCTAATGAACAGCCACATGGGGATTATATATGGTATACCTTTATATGGTTCTCAGAACTATTAATTGTGTGATGTACAACAAAATTAAAGGGCTTCATCACATTTTTTATGTTACTACATTTTGTCCTCATTATGATCTTTTTGTTGTTTAGACAGTGTTTATGTAGTGCTATGGAATAATGTACGCTGGTTTAATAAAATGCTGATTGGCCAGTAGCCAGGCAGGAAGTATAGGCAGGGAGAGCAGACTAAAAGAATGCTGGGAAGAGGGAGGGCGGAGTCAGGAGTCACCAGCCAGATGCAGAGTAAGCAAGTTGACAACGTAGAACTGAGAAAAGATACCAAGCCATGTGGCTAAGCATAGATAAGAATTATGGGTTGATTTAAGTGTAAGAGCTAGTCAGTAATAAGCCTGAGCTAATGGCTGAATAGTTATAATTAATATAAGCTTCTGAGTAATTATTTTATAAGTGGCTTCAGGACTACAGGGTTGGGCAGGACTGGAAAAAGTTCCAACTACAATGTAATCCCGGCTGTCCGGGAGCTCACTAGTTAGACCAGGATGGCCTCTGACTCAGATCTTCCTGGCTTTGCCTTCTGAGTGCTGGGATTAAAGGTTTGGACCACTACACCCACATTATTATAAATTATTAGATGTTGAACACGAGAATTTTTTTTATTACAGCTTTTCCAAGGAGCTGGATATATGGCTTAGTGGTTAAGAGCACTGACTTCTCTTCCAGAGGACCTGGGTTCAATTCCAAACACACATACATGCTGTGGGATTGTCTTTCTATATGCTGTGAATATGTGTTACTACCACTGGTTAAGAAGCTGCTTTGGCCTATGGCAAGACAGATTATAGCCAGGCTGGAAATCCAAGCAAAGATACAGGGAAAAGAAAGGCAGAGTCAGGAGGGATGCTGTGAGCCGCTAGGGGAGCAAGATGTATTAGTGCACAGGTAAAGACACAAGACATGTGGCAATACATAGATGAATAGAAATGGGTTAATTTAAGATGTAATAGCTAGCTAGCAATAAGCCTGAGCCATAGACCAAACAGTTTGTAATTAATATTAAGCCTCTGAGTGATTATTTTATAAGCTGCTGTAGGGCAGGATGGGACATAGAAAAGCTTCCAGTTACACATACCAGCTCACAATTTTTTGTCAGTCTACCTTTAGGGAAATCAGATGCCTATTTCTGGCTTCTCCAAGCACCAGGCGTTAAGGTAGTACACAGAAATACTTACATAAAGTGCAAGCATACACACACACACACACACACACACACACACACACACACACACACACACAAGCAAAACAACAAACTTTTCCCACTTTTGCAGAATTTTATTTTCATATAAACCCTGTGAAATTTTTTAAGATTTAAGGCATTCACAAGTTTCTTATATTTGTTTCTATTGTTGTGTTTTCTAAACAAGAATTCGAGATAAATCTACATCATATTATTTGCAATGATATTTTTCTCACCAATATGAATTTTCTGATGTCTTCTAAGATTCAAAATCTGGATAAAGGACATGTCACATTCTTTGCATTTGCAAAGTCTTTCTCCAGTATGAAGTTTCTGATGTGTTCTAAGATGTGAGTTACGGGTGAAGGACTTGTTACATTCCATACATTTGTAAGGTTTCTCTCCAGTATGAATTTTCTGATGTTGTTTAAGAGTTGAACACTCAGTAAATGATTTGTCACATTCCGTACATCTGTAAGGTCTCTCTCCAGTGTGAATTCTCTGATGTATTCTAAGATATGAGTCCTGGGTAAAGGATTTGTCACATTGCCTACATTTGTAAAGTTTCTCTCTAGTATGAATTTTCTGGTGATTTCTAAGATTTGAGGACATAGTAAAGGATTTGTCACATACCTCACATTTGTAAGGCTTCTCACCAGTATGGATTTTGTAATGCCTTTTAAGATGTGATAATTCAAGAAAGGATTTACCACATTCTTTGCATTTGTACAATTCTTCTAGAGAATGAGTTTTCTGATGTCTTGTAAATGATGAATAGTGAGTAAAGGATCTGTTGCAGTCCTTGCATTTGTAAGGCTTCTCTCCAGTATGGAGTCTTTGATGTGTTTTAAGGCTTGAGTACTGAGTAAAGGATTTGTCACAAATGTTGCACATGTACGGTTTCTCTCCAGTATGAACTCTCTGATGCTTTGTAAGAGTTGACTTCACAGTAAAGCATTTGTCACATTCCTTGCATTTGTAAGGCTTCTCTCCAGTATGAATTCTCTGATGTTCAGTGAGGCTTGAAGCAGTACTGAAGTATTTCCCACAGTTTCCACAATGGTGTGGTTTCTCTCCAATGTAGAATTTTTGTTGCAAATGACTGAATGTACAGTCAAAATCGTCATTATATTCTCCCTTCCTGTGCTCTTTCTTTGCAGTGTCCAGTCTCTGATCTTGAGTAAGGTTGGAACACAAATTTAAAGATTTCTCACAGTCTTTAGATTTGGAAAGTTCTTCTCCATTGTGCATGCTTTCATGTCTGTCTGGGTTTGATGAGTCAATAGAGGCATCCCTGTGATTATTGCATCTGTAGTTATTAGAATTTTCTGTAGTTTCACTTGTTCTATAAAGTGCATATTTGCAGTGGTCATGAAGCATTTTGCCAAGCTCAGTACACTGACAAGACTTCTTTTCATTATTCACATGGTGATGGACAGGATCACATATGCAATAGTTCTCTGAAAATAAGTACAGTTCAGATTAACAGGGCTTGTTCCAAGATTAACATTTGACAAATGACTGTTCTCCCTAAATTCTCTGTTAAGTCAATCAGCAACTATTTAGACTAGAGCTCCCAGTAGTCAATTTATTTCTTTCACTAAAATTTATGGATTCTTACAAAAACAGAGTGATAGCCTTCAAGGAAGTTGAAGCAGATAATTGAGGAATCAGTTATTAGCTTAGGGATAGAGGTTACTGACTGATTATATTTAGAATATATGTCTCTTATTTTTAAACATTTTTTTTTTCAAATATTGATGAAGAAGAGTTCAATCTAATCCCAGGTTCACAGTGTTTACTTACTAATGTACAGCAATGAAGATTATAGTTCAGAATACTCAATTCCCTTAAAGATTAAAGGCTTTTTGAAATGCATCAAAGGGTTTACTTTTTTTTTTCCCAAAAAGTACATTTGATTCTTCAAAAGTAAGGGATGCAAAGCAAGTATTCTGCCAGACAACAGAGGCTCTAAATAAGCAGTTTTCAACCTGTGGGTTATGACTACCTAAAAATACATTATTTCTGATGGCCTTAGGAACTGAGGCATTGCTTAGTAGCAAAGTTACAGTCAAGAATTTGCAACAATAATTTTATGATTGGAGTCACCAAAACATGAGGGACTCTATTAAAGGGTTGTAATATTACCAAGGTTGAGAACCACTGTTGCTCTAGACCATTTGAGGCAGGGCTATCATGGGAAACTAGTGTTTATTTCTACCCACTATTGACATACATGCAAGGAAGGCAATTGCAGAATAGTCCTACTTCATGGACTCACGTTAGTCTTGAGTTTTGTAAAATTATTCCAAACTGTTATCAGCATAGTCAAATACAACTGCATTTTGTACTAGTATTAAGTCACCATAATCCAGGTGCAATAAGTCACATCTTCAAACAATGATAGCAGGAAGGGGGCATCCCTGGGCCAGGACACTACACTAAGTTCAATTATCAGGAATCCATTCAAGTGGAATTGAATATCGCAAAAGCATTCTCATCTCTTCCTTTCTCTTTCACTTGAAGCCATCACTGTTGTTCTGCTCATTCACTAACTCACCCTGGTTGTGGCTACTCTCTCTTCTCCACATTCCAGGGCAATCTCCTTTGTTCCAGATAGCTGACTTTGAATACAATAATCCATGTGTTCTGTGAGCGAGCCTATGATACATGCTAGAATTTTTGGAAGAATACAGATGTCTAATAGCACAGTACTGAACTGAGCTCAGTACATGAAGAGAACACAAAGTAGAGGAATATACAGGAATGACTTCCCAATTGCTACTTCCTGTCAGAATCTTCAGCATAATTAGGGAGAATTTTCAGTTTGCACATCTTGAGTTTTTCTCACAACTGAAACAATGTCAACAGCAATGACAGACATGGAGTTTTAAGATATGAGTTCCTGAATGTATCATAGGCCCTAAATGAAGGGTACAGGACACCTACAAATTGGAGAATAGATAGAAAAAACATACCAAGCTACTAGCCTGCTATTGTTTACAAGACAGCCTAACAGAGAGTTCATAACCTATAAAATCAGTACCTAGAAAGCCTGAGTTAGGAATTATACAAGCAAAACGTTCTCACCCACAGAGACCAGGTTGTTATAATTCTCCAACATCACATCGATGTACAAAGCCCTCTGAGCAGAGTCCAGGCATTCCCACTCCTCCTGGGAGAAGTCCACAGCTACATCCCAGAATGTCAATAGACCCTGAAACACAAAATACAATTTGTGCTTTTAACAGATAGAGTGCTTTCCTGCATATAAGGAGACTTACGGAAATTAGGGATGTAGAAGAGTGAAGAAAATTACTCAAAAACAAAATTTCTAATATAGTCACATTCCATAATGGGTTTTCAAACTGTAAAAAGAGGATGACACAACATTCTGACAAGCAATATACACAAAACAACACACACTTAAGGTCTAGTTACAGTTATCTTTCTTGTATAGATGCTGTGTTATGTTGCACAGGATCAAAGTGGACATGTCTCATAAGGAAAATTTTTGTGAGGTCTAAATGCTGTGCCTGAAGTTCATGCTAAAATACTGACAGTGAATCATCCTGTCTGTTCTTGGGCCTTACATGATTACATTTTAACATGCTCAGTTCGTATGTTTAGACTCTAGGTCCAAAGCCTCACCATTAAAGAGCAAAGGGGTAGATGGGGAAGGCAGAATTTATGATTAATTAGGAAGTCAAGGAGTTTGTTTTTTTTTTTTCCGCAGTAAAAAGGACCATATCAACATTTTATACTGTGAATTTTAATCTTAACATATAAAATCAAGTAGTATATAGGGAGATACTTTTATGAGAATATAGGGCCACTACCAAGCAGACAGAAAAATCAGCATCAGGCATATTTGATATAAACCAAAATTTTCTAAAAATATGAAGACCTGACTTAGATAAATAACAATTTCAGAAGTTTTGAAGATTTCACTTGCAAAGAGTTATAAAAAACTGATGGAAGTACAAAAACACATCAAATAATGTTTAAGTTACAGCTCAGCATGTACACATAAGTGAAGTACACTGGATGCATTCAGATGTGATATAATTTCCTGTCAGTAAATGAATATATTAAATTCTGTGAGAACTATAGTCATTTTTCAGTGCTTTGCAAATATAACTCAGAGAATGGCTGAAGAGAAAATTTGCACAACTCTGTCTGAATTTTGTAGTTTTCAATGTGTTCTTTTTAGTACCTATGCTGTATTGTCTAATAGCATTTTAGATTAGTAGTGTTTGATTGTCTTAGTTATGGTTCCTGTTGCTGCGATGAAACGTCATGACCAAAAAGCAAGCTGGGGAGGAAATGGTTTATTTGGCTTACACTTCAGCTTTGCTGTTCATCACTGAAGGAAGTCAGGACAGGAACTCAAACAGGGCAGGATCCTGGAGGCAGGAGCTGATGCAGAGGCCATGGAGGGGAGCTGCTTACTGGCTTGCTTCCCCTGGCATGCTCAGCCCACCTTCTTATAGAACTCAGGATCAACAGCCAAGGGATGGCATCACCCACCATGGGCTGGGCCCTCCCCCACTGATCACTAAATGAGAAAATGCCTTGCAACTGTATCTCAAAGATGCACTTCCTCAGCTGAGGCTCCTTCGTGATGACTCTAGCTTGTGTCAAGTTGACACACAAACCAGCCAGTACAACTGACCCCTTATCAGCTAAACACACAAACACATCACTGGTAAGTCACAACCCTTCCTTTCTTATTTTTCTCCATGGTCTTGAATGACTTTAAATGTCCCTCCCAGTCTTTACAAATTCAAACACATTAAAATTTCAGTTCCTTTAAAAGAGTCAATCTCTTTAAAAACCCAAAGTCTTTTAAAATCCAAGTCTCTCAGCTGTGAGCTCCAGTACAATGCTTTATTTCAAGAGAGAAAAAGTAGGGCACAGTCACAAACAAAGCAGAACAAAATTCCAGCTGTCCACTATCTGGGATGCAGCCACAATCTTCTGGAGTCCTCCAAAGGACTTGTCACTTCTCTGGCACTGTCCTCTGAAGCACACACAGCTGGTTTTCTAGGTACTGGCTGGCTCCACCCCAGTGTTCTACTGTCCTGAGTGGTCTTCTAGTGACACTGGCATCTCCAAAATGCTGTAGTCCCTTGCTGCCACTGTACTGCACTTTCCCCAAAAGCCTCTCATAGGCTCTCTTCATGGTGCCAAGTTTCAACTTCTTTGTATGACCTCCTTATTCCTGGGCCTTCAACTGCCACTGAGAGTGCACCTTCACCAGTGGCCTTTCCTGGCCTCTGAGTGACAAGCTTCAGCTGCTCTCCATGACCCCTTCATGCCTTCAAAACCAGTACCACCTGGGTGATGCTTACACATTACCAAGTCTGGCTGCAAGCACAAGGTACAACCTTGGCTGCCTCTGAAACATAGTTTCTCTATGCGCTCAGGAAACACTTCCCAGCAGATATCACCTCAGTGATACTGGGTTCTTAAACACCACTAATTTCTTAGCTCCAGCCAATCAGCACCAAGTATCCCAGCAAAGCAAAATTTCGCTTTCATAGTTATGGTATCTTGTTAATCACAAATCACCACAAATTTCTTAGCTCCAGCCAACCAGCACCAAGTATCCCAGCGAAGCAAAATTTTGCTTTAGTAGTTACGGTATCTTGTTAATCACAGCTGATTCTTCAGCCCCAGTTAACCAGAACCACAAGATTTTAATGCAAAATAACAAAAGACCCTGATAGGGTCTTTAAACTTCTCTCTGAAACTTCACAAGCCAGGCAGGCCTCCATCTTCTGCATTGCTCTTAACATTCTCATCTTCCAAGCTCATAAAGAACATCCCACAGAGCTCTTAACACTCAATGTTTCTTCTGGCCAAAAGTTCCAAAGTTCTTCTACAATTCTTCCTAAAACATGGTCAGGTCTGTCACAGCAATACCCCACTATGCTGGTACCAATTTCTCTTAGTTAGGGTTCCTGTTCCTGCAACGAAATACCATGACCAAAAAGCAAGCTGGTGAAAAAAGGGTTTATTTGGCTTACACTTCAGCATTGCTGTTCATCACTGAAGGAAGTCAGGACAGGAACTCAAATAGGTCAGGATCCTGGAGGCAGGAGCTGATGCAGAGGCCAGGGACGGGATCTGCTTATTGGTTTACTTCCCCTGGTATGCTCAGCCCACCATCTTATAGAACTCAGGATCAACAGCCAAGGGATGGCACCACCTACCATGGGCTGGGCCCTCCCCCACTGATCACTAAATGAGAAAATGCCTTACAGCGGGATCTCAAGGAAGCACTTCCTCAGTTGAGGCTCCTTCCTCTCTGATGACTCTAGCTTATGTCAAGTTGATACACAAAACCAGCCAGTACAATGATTCTTCTTTTATTTTTCTGAAAATACAAAGATGTGGTGACATCTTCTGTCTGAGCCATGAGGCAGGGTTACATATGCAAACCTGCAGGTCAGAGCCTATGCACCAAATCTCCACTTTAAAACACAGCAGCTTCAAGGTACAGGAGTAGAGCCATGACTCTCACAGGAACTGACTAGAGCAAGGCAAGCATGAGGACTGTTCTTTCTGCATCAAATGTGATGGCTTATGCACATCAATCTGTCAATGCCTCCAAGACACTCATGATGCATTCAACATAATGCTACACAATGAATCCCATCCAGAAAAGATTGCGCAATGGGACACTGTTGGGGGTAGGGGAGACAAATAAAATAATACTGATCTCTCCTGTTCAGCCAGTTACCACTGAGTATCCTAACCATGTGAGTGATGTGAACAGCATATTCTCAGACAAACAGATACAAGGTTTCAAACAGATACAAAGATATCAACAGACACATGGACACATCATTAGTGTCATGATATTAAACACCAAAGCGAAATACAAGTAGACTAGAATCATGATATTAAACACCAAAGCAAAATACAAGTAGACAAGAACAACAATTTCATGGCAAGATCAAGCCACATGCAACTGTCATGTTTAGCACTCTATAGTGTGTTTAAATCTTTAGTATTAAGACACTAGATATGTCTCTTTTAATTCCACATATTTCTAAGATGTTGTTCCAACTCGTTCATGTGTTTCCATATGCACGGAAATGGGACAGATCCCACAAATTGATGCTACACAGCACACGATACCCGGCTCAACAATATGTAAGTCCATCCTCCATATCAATTGGCCAGCAACATAATTTTTTTGGTTATGTGTCACAGTGGAAATATTTTCAAAATTATAGGACATTTGTGTATGTGGGATATTTGACCCCCCCCCCCAAAAAAAAATCTGGGGAGAGCAGAATAAGTGCTACAGGAGATGTGGAATTATAGGATTATATTGTATAGCTGTAGTCATAAAGACAGTCTGGTATGGGAATAAACACAGACAGGAGGAAAACAGAATGGGATAGAGAACCCAGAAGAAAACCACTAATCCATCCATCTTAGTATTTGGCAAAGGAAGAAAAAGATACATTAGAAAAATATGGTCTTTTCAACAAATGGTACTGGCAAAACTGGATCCATCAGGAGAATGAAATTAGATTCTTACTCTTTCACATTGTACAAAAATGCATTAAAAATAGATCAAAAGCCTTATTTAAAACCAGACACACAGAAACCTAGAAAACAGGGAATACAAATCAGGATATTGAGATGGGCAAAAACCCATAAATTAGAAAGAACACCAACATCACAGGAACTAACACAAGTATCAACAAATGGGACTATATGAAAATAAAGGTTCTGTTTACCAACAGAAACAGTCAGCAGAGCACACAGACATCCCTCAGAATGGGAGAGAATCTGTACCAGCGACATTTTGGATAGGGGCTCATATACAGAATTTACCAAGAATTAGAGAAATTAAATAACATGAAAATGAAACTGCCAATCAACAATGGGAAAACGAACTGAATAGACACTTTTCAAAGACAGAAACACAAATGACCCCAGGAACCCTAAACTGCCAACAGAGAAATGAGAACAAAAATTACTTTGAAGTACTGCTTCACTCCAGGCAGAACAACTGTCATCAACTAATCTAACAAAAAATGTTAGAGAAGATGAGGAAAGTGTCAATGAACTGAATACCAAGCCCAAACCCAATGAGAGAATGAATACCAGATGGTAAAGCCTCAGGAAAGTGACACTTCTGCTCTGGAGAGAAATGCACTCCATCTGCAGAGAACATCCATCTTTTATATAAATTTTGTTGCTGAGCAAGCAAGAGCAAGGAGGCAGATAACAAGGGCCAAAGAAAAGCAGGTAGTTTGAGCTATACCACAAAACTGTTAAAAATTTTAAATAACAGACATGGTTCCAGCTGTGACCTAGTTTGATCAACTTCGTATGTTATCCCCTTCTTGTGTGAGCCAGTCTGAAGGACGTTAGATACTATATCTTTCCTGTGAGAGCACCCTCTTTAAATACATTGAACCTAGGTAAAGAACAATGTAACCCTTGGGTTGATTTCCTTTCTTTTAGAGAAGACAGTTTCTCCTAGGTCACATCAAAAGGAAGCCTTATTCATTGTTGGTGTGGATGGGAGGGTGGTGCAAATTAACACAATTTCAAATGAAATCAGTTTGAAGATCATTAACAAATTAAAGACAGAACTAACATCATAAGTCCCAGCTCTCTCACTCCTGGGCATATACTCAGAGAATTCCACACCCCACTATAGAGATAGTTACACCCCACGGTTAATGCTGCTGTATTCACAATAACAAAGAATTGCAATCAACCTAACTGTTTATCCATAGATGAATGGAAAATGAAAATGGTATACATATAAAATGGATTCCTATTCAGTGGAAAAGTGTAATAAAAATTTGCAGGAAAATGGATGGATTCATAATGTGTAGTATTAAGTGAAGTTGTACAATATCAGAAAGAAAAAATCATGTTTTTCTTCATATGCAGAGTCTAGCGATTATTATGTGTACATGGGACACAACATACATGTGGGCACAGTAGAACATGGCGAAAAGAGAATAAGAAAGGTTAAATATCAGTGTGATATAGGACTGAATGCATGTAATCAAAACCAGCTATGAAAAAGGATATTAAGCTAAGTGCTTCTCTAGCTCTAATTATGTCACAGGTTTTGGTTTTTGATGGTAGATAAATAAATAAAAATATATTAGATATTGAAACTATAAAATCAAATGTGAGCCTCCAGAGCTCCTGTTCCCAATGACTACTCTAACTTTGTAAGTACATTGAGTTGTGCAGTCTGGGACTGATTAATTTCAGCATGTGATCTTGTTTGTTTGCAATATTTTTCATAATAAAATTTAAAAAAAATCATAAGCAGAAATTTAAAGGCTTCCAATGTTTCAAACTATAACATTTCTACCAAAAAGGGGGGGGGGGGGCGCATTACCACTGACCTGGGACAGATTAACTGCAGAATCAGCCATTTCTTTCTGTTTCTGTTCTTTGAGTTTCTCTTTCAGGAACAATGAATAGATGGCTTGCTGACCTTTCATATTAAGGAGTCAAAAGCAAAAGCAAAAATTAGTAATGAAAGCTGTTAGAGAACAATGTCAAACCACATGAAAAGATACAAGCAACAGAAGATGACCAGGTATCCAGAAAATGATCCCCAATCCAGGAGAGCATGGAAAGACATTTAAGCCTTGAAGAGAAAGTTACCGTCAACAGTACTGCTGCATAAAGAAAAATTCTATCGTAAAATTGATGGAGACATGAGTGCATTTTAAGACAGTCAGGAATTAAAATGGTTCATTTCACTAAAGCAGCACTGCAGATAATAAATTAGAGGCAAAACCTACACAGGAGAGTCAGAGGAACTATCCATGAGAATACTGGAAATAATAAATATCATGTGAATAAAGAAATACAGGAAAAATGGGAAGTAATCATCCATGGGTGAGACAGCAAATCACTAATTCTGAGACAAAAGAAAGAAAATTACTCCCAATATAATCCAACCGGCAACAACATAAAAAACAAAACCATAGGGAATAAAAACTCTACAAACAAACAAAAAATTTAGCGACTCTGGAAACCAATATGGAGAATCCTGAAAAAGTTCAAGAAATACAGCACATAGACCAGCTGTACCACTCCTTGCATAAACTCAAAGGACTTGACACCCTCCTCCGTAGATACTTGCTCACCTATTTTCATTCTGCTCTATTCACAATAGCTATAAGAGAGAGACAACCTGAATGTCCTTTAGCTGACAAATGGGTAATAGAAGTGTGGTACATATGACCTATAGAATACTGTTCAGGGATAAAGAAAATTTGAAATCACGAGCTTTGCAGGTAAGTGGATGGACCTAGTAAAGATCATATTGAATGGAGTAATCCAGACTAATAAAGACATAGCATGATCTCTCTCATAGGAAGTTCCTAGCTCCAAATCTTCAGATGTGAGTACACAACCTGGAGAAACTGCAGTAACAAAAAAAGAAAAAACAGACCACTGTAGGTTGTGAGGTAGTAGCAGAGACAGAAATAACAGAGAACAAGTGATCTGAAGGAGGAAATGGAAAACTAGGGGGAGGGATTTAATTATTGAGATGGGACAGGTATAAACACAGAAGGTAAAATAACAGTAAGATTTTGAAAACATCATAAGGCATAATAGTATTGTCCATCTACCAAAAAATGCATATAATACATATAAGTCTGTGCATGCATACTCATTCATAGTATAAATAAGAATTTCCCATCTGGGCTGATGGGAATGTGATGCTCCCACAGACATTTTCTAACAAAACCACTCACACAAGGCACGAGAAGCCTGTTTTGAAGTTGTTTGTCATTGCTGTCCATGAGACTCCCCAAACGTAATAGGCTATTGCTGTTGTCTATGGTGGCTTCCCAGAGGTAGAAGGTGAGTCTCTATTATTGAAGAAGCCTTGCACTTCAGACACAGAACCCAGAGGATTCAAGATGGATATGACCTTAAAGCCTCCTCCCTGGGGACTAACTTTCATTGTACCAAAAGTCAACATGCAACCTTCCAAAGGAGGGAGCCAGCCAACAGTCTGACTCAGCTATGACACCCATGAACCACATTGATCTGCACTGCATGATAACTCTATCATGCAAGAGTGGCACACAGACCTTGGTAGTAACCAACAGCTTCTAATTGGACTTAAAATCTTTTCAACAAGAGGAAAATCATGCCTGGTACCTAACCAGTTTCTCCACAGCTAGTGAAGTCAAGGATCTTGGAGGAGAACTTACAACTACTACTTTACTAAATCAGCACAATCTGTAACGTCTTTCTAAATATTTTCTTTATTTTCACAGATAAATGAAGTCCTCACCCCTCACCAAAGAAAGTTCCTGATGCAACACATCAAAAAGCACAATCAGTCAAAATGCAGAGTTGTAAGGCTCAGTCTCCACTGACACATGACCAGTACAACTCCTTCACCTAAGGCTCAGGGGACACTGAGAAAGAGAGGGCGGGAACATTTTAAGAGCCAGAAGAACAGGATGTTTGCTGTGACATTGTGTCTCCTAGAAATATCAGAGAAGCTACATGCATGAAATCATACAAACATGGCTGACTAAACATGAGCTGAACAAGAACAACACCAAGAGACATGCTAACATGGAAGGGAGAAGGCTCATTAGGTCTCAAATCTAGTCAAACACTAAGGAATTCTGAGAGCTGGAGAAATAGTCTTTCCCAGAGAATTGAGCACCATATGGCTATCCAATATCAAATGTTCAACCCTAAAAACATACAGACTGAGTAGGTTGTATTTTTATGCTTAGCATACACAGAAACATATAACAACATAAGTTATTAAGAAATAATAAATACATATGGAAAGTCAAGATTTTGGATCATTTAGATTAAAAACATTATAATATTTTCTATTACTGCTACTCACATAATTAAACTTAACAAGGGGCTAGAGAGATGGCTCCATGGTTATGAGAGCCTGTTGTTCTTATAGAGACCCAGGTTCCATTCCCAGACTCTGCACAGTGGCTTCTATCTGTCCATAACTACAATTCCAGGATGCATATGACATACAGTCATATATGCAAGCAAAACACTTGTATACATAAAATATATGAATCTAAATAAAAATGAATAGTAAAAAATAATTAGTAAAGAGGGAGACAAAAAACAAACAAATAAAAACAAAACAAAATAAAATTCCTTGAATGAACTTACTAAACAGAAGAAAGGTCCCTATCTGAAAATCTTGATTTGCTGAAGAACTGAAGAAGATGCTAACATGGGAAGATGATTTACACAGATAGAAATAATACTGAAATTTTCAGTATTTCTGAAAGTGATTTCTATGATCAGTTCAAACTTCATGACATTTAAATTTCTCACAACATACTTCAGAGAAATAGTAAAGAGAAACCTAAAATTTGTACTGATGGACAAATTCCCTGGGTACAGAGCAGCCCCAGAATAGTGTTACAATGCTGGAGCTTTCCCAGTGTGATTCCAGATGACACTGCAGAGCCACACAACCAACAGCATCATGGGAGCAGAGAAGACAAACGGTCCAATGAAACAGAGCAGCAGATCCACAACTTGCCCAATAGCAATGATCATGCCACTAAAATAACACAAACATGAGTTTCAGATTAGACAGCCTCTTCAAACAGTGACATTGGGGAAAAGTATTTATCCACATATAAAAACATGAACCTGGGTTCAAGTCTCTCCTACCATATAATGAATCAGACTTCCGTGTATGATCTGAAACAGTGAATCCTACAGAGCAACACAAAAGGGCAACACTTGATACAACAGCAGGAACCCACAAATAGTACTGTGTAAAGTTAAAAACATCCAGGGAAAGGGTAACAATTAAAGAATGAAGGGACAGCTTACACAGCAGATACATTTGTTAGCTAGCTATTTATAGAACAATGGATGAAAACCCACAACCTGTCCAAAATTACAAAGGAAGCAAAAGCTAATATCATTGGTAAATAAACAAATGAATCAAACACAACATGCTCAACAGCAGTTGAAATACCCAATTTATTGGACATATTAAAAAGTTCTATATTGTAGGTCATAAGGTAATGTAAATTTAATATACAGAGATTCCAAATCTCTATTCAGTGTCCACACTTTGGAATAACTAAATAACAAATGCATTTCTTTCAGTAATTTCTTGAAATGTAAATGTATAAAATATTTAAGCAAATGATATAAAAAGACTACACCATTCAAAAGGAAAAAGGTCAGCTGAAATTTAAAACATATATTTGCTACCAAAGATTTATTTCATATACAAGAAACTGAGGTAGAAGGAAATTTTTTTAATGTGATAAATATGGACAGCAGTAAAGAAGACTGATGATCATAAGTAAACAGTGACAGAAAATCAAGGCAAAAGCTGAAGACAAGGAGTGGATACCTGTCACCAGCCCTGGCTGCCTGGTTCAGGACATGAAGATCAAGTCCCTGGAGGAGATCTACCTGTTCTCCCTGCCCATTAAAGAATCTGAGATTATTGACTTTTTCCTGGGGACATCCCTAAATGATAAGGTTCTAAAGCTCATGCCAGTGCAGAAGCACATTCAGGCTAGGTAGAGGACCAGGTTCAAGGCTTTTGTCATTATTGGGGGCTACAGTAGTCATGTGGATCCTGGTGGTAAGTGCTCCATGGAGGTTGCCACTGCCATCTGAGGGGACATCATCTTGGCCAAGCTTTCCATTGTCCCTG